AACTTTAATGCCAGTAGCTCACAAAGTAGCATTTTTGCTCACAAGACTCCACAGCTTAGAGGGAACATTGGGCCCGCCGCCACCACCTCTGGCAGTGAATTCCATGTGTTAATCACTCTTTGGGTGAAGAAGTACTTCCTTGTATCCATTCTAACCCGACTGGTCATCAATTTCATTGAGTGCCCACGAGTTCTTGTATTGTGAGAAAGGGAGAAAAGTAATTTCTTTACCTGCTCTATCCTATGCATAATCTTGTAAACCTCGATCATGTCACCTCTCAGTCATTGTTTCTCCAAGCTAAAAAGCCCCAAGCGCTTTAACCTCTCCTTCATAGGGAACTTAAAAGTCCTCTGAAAAGGCCTGGCAAACAAGCCTTGTAGTGCCCCCTGAAGATCTCGGGGGGGAGGCTCCTAAAAGGCTAGCTCCATGGACAGGAATCCCTTCTGTCTACAGAAATCCTATATGGGTCCAAGCCACACACTTTGGCACACCATAGTTTTGTCGAGCTGCAAATTGGAATACTAGTAACATGTTCTTGTCATATGAGTTATCCGTCCTCTGTTCTAAACTCTTAATTGCACTTCGGGGAAAATAATGTGGTGTTGTACTGAGCAGTGGACAGTTATAAACCAGGTAGTTAAGCCAGCATGTAGCGAACAATAGCTGTGTCACCTAGCCAGTACATTGCAGTTGTCAGTGTAGCGACTAATGAAATTGGTATTGGAAATCTTTGCCAGGGGGGAAAAAAATTACTGTTTGCTGTGGGCAGTCTGTGTATGGGGCAGGATGCTCTCTATTCTATGCACAGAAACACAACTTCCTTGGTCCCCTGTCCCTCTCTTCTTGGTGGTTGGGGACTCTCAAGAGTGGCATAGGGGGTTTGGAGAGCTGCTACAGCAGAGAGGGAAGGGGTGAAAATGATGCACCCCTTTGCAAGTAAAGGTCTTTTCCATGGGATCCAACCTACCGTGTTTAAAAAGTGGCAATGTAGATCTGTCCCAGATCCTTTGTATTATTGTTTCAGCTGGGAACTAGCTAGAGGCTACCAAGGTGAAACCCTATTTAGGAATAGCCATGGTCAGTGGAGGACATGAGATGGAAAGTTGGGCTCCATCTTGGGCAAAACCAATTTGCCTTTCCTGGTCCATGTTAGACCATGTGAGATAGCTTGCACAGTTTCTTAACTCAGATTTGTTGCGCAATTTGTTCTACAGACCATGGATTGTACCCAAAGGTTCCATTGTGTTCATGGTGGAGCTTTCCTCTAGTGGAAGGGAGTGTTGTATTGGAGGAGTACTCCACAACTAACAGAAAGGAAGCTTTGGGCTGCTGCACCACTCACAGAGACCCCCTTTTTAAAAAAAGTGACTCTTAGAGACAGAGGGGTGACTAGTGTTAGGCTGTGAACTAGAAAAAATATGTAAATGTATACATGGGAAGCAAGCAAGAAGAGTTCCCCCTCCCTGCCAATTGTCTTTATTGGGGAGGGGAAGAATGGCAGGGAAGCCATGTAAGCAGCAGTACCTTAACCATAACTGATTGTACTCAGGAGAAAGTTTGAGTCCAGTGGCACCTTGAAGACCAACAAAGTTTTACTCAAGGTATAAGCTTTCATGTGCAAGCACGCTTCTTCAGATACCTGAAGAAACTCAAACTTTGTTCTTCTGCTTCAGACCAACACAGCTACCCCCCTGATTGTACTCAGTGTGTGAGAATCATTATTCCCTCCCTGGTAACTTATTTCCTCATTCCACTAAGGTTACCTACAGCGTATTTCTTCATTCCACTAAGGTTGCCTAGAAATGCGTATACAGACTTAGAATTCAGCCAAATGTGTGGTTGTTTGACAGAGCATTCTTGTAGTCGCAAGAAAGGATGGCTACAGGTGTTGATAACATTGCTAGCACCTGGCTGAGGAAAAATCAGGAAAGGGCTCATTGTCCACATTATAGCTTTAGCTATATTTTTCTGGCTTAAATTGTTTAGCACAATACTGTGCCTATGACAACATGCTAAGGCATTTCTCAGTAACAGGGCTTTGGAGTTTGAGTGGCGTTAGCACATGAGCCCCCTTGCACAGTTTAAGCAGTCCTATTTTTGGCATCTGGGTGTTGGCTTGTCTCCCCAGCCGCCTTAGAAAGTAAATCAGGCATATGCAGAAAAGGGAGCCAGCAGTTCCGGGACTCACAGAACGCGACTCGAAAATGGGTTGTTGCTTCAGTAAAGAGCTAGATAACAGCAAGAACGAGAAAATGAGCCTTTTGGGAAAATCTGTGGAAGAGGAGTCTTCTGAAAATGGGATAAGTAGAACTTTAACTTCAATTTTGGAGACGGTAGAAAGTGAGGACCTGCATTTAGTCCAGAAGACGATTTGTGAGACAGCTGCCATCCAGGATTGCACGGAGTCTGTTCAGTCTCCTTCACATCGTCCTGTGGGGGTTGCCAATGGTGACCATGTCCTCAGAAGTCTCTACGACGGACCTTTTAATCTTCACCCACTTAATGAGATTAAAAGGGTCTTGAATAGGTACAGCACCTTACAAGAGAATGATCTAATGGAAGCTGGAGTTGGGGGCAGAAGGCTTACAGAGGATAGTAGCGGTAGTGCTCCGTGTGTGAATAACGCCGGCAGCTCTTGTGTTAATGCCAATAATGAAAACGGATCCACTATGGCCAGACAGCTGTGGTGTTCTCTTGAAAATAATTTCACTCCGTGTGTGCCGGTGGCTTTAGGCCAGGACTTTCGGGAACAAAAGTCCTTAAGTAAGAGCTGTCTAAAAGAGGATTCTGTTACAGCCAAGTGCTTGGTGCTACAGGATGAAATCGAGGCTGCTGCAGGTAATCGTAGCACGATAGCTTCAAGGAAAGTAGACGGAGAAATAACAGCTTCGCCCCTTGCCTATCTTGATATAGACCGGCACCATATAAGCACCAGAGATAAGGAGTTCTACAGTATTTGTGTTGTTGATGAGGACGACCTGAAAATGGATGTCGAAGGGCAAGCAGCCGCTGATGGAGAGACTGACACAGACGGAGAAAGTTCAGCTGTTGATGAACCGTACAGCATAACCCAGCCTGTAGAGAATGGGAAACAATTCCTAGTCCAGGAGTTGATGGTAGACTTCAGCACTCCAAAAGGCACATCTTATAACTCAATAGCTGATAGTTTAGCAGAGCCAAAAAATGAAATAGAAATTAAAACTCCCTCTGACTTGGTAAATGGAGGGTATGAGTTAAATACTAGCGGCGTAACAGCTGATGTTTTAAGGGCACAAGCATATGTTGAAGAGCTTCCTCAAAATAGCACTTGGGAAATGGATATACTGGGTAGTAGCATTGGTATGAATGAATTTGTTAGTGAAAGGAATAATTCTCCAGTATCTGTGCCTTTAGGGCAAGACCTACAGTATCCTCAGCAATTAAAAGGCATGATATGTATGGGCAGTTCCGCGGGTGGTAATGGGAACAACTATGGCTCTGAAGATCTGCAGTTTCACTTGAATGAAAACCACAATGCAGAAGAAGGTGAAAACTGTTCGAAGCAGTTAAGTAATCTGAACTATTTGTCAGGCTTCGACGAAGAAGCCAGCTTTCTCTTTGCAAGTCAAGGTAATACAGAAAATCGATGTGAAGGCGAGCAGCATAGATCAGAAGACAGGAAAGACTCCAAAGGGAATACCAATGAATCTGGGGCAGTATCTTGTTGCAGTAAGAAACCCCCCAACTTTCCTGGCCACTATAATGATCTAGAGCAGCTCTTGAAATGTGAGGATATAGGTGCTCTTTGCAGGTGTGAAGAGCAAGCTGAGAATACTATTAAAATGCTTTCAGCTCCACCTGACCTAATTTTTAAGGGGGGGAAACCAAATGTCCTAGAGTTTACAAGTAATGAAGATGGCATCTGTCCACAGACTGTTGAGTACAACCAGCCATCTCAAATTGATGCCAGCGCTTCAGAGATGAGTAGCTTAAAAGGGCTATCACAGGAAAACAGAGACATATTAACTTTGTTGGAACCGCATAATCTAAATGGGCATGAAAGAATCCAAACAGAAAACTGTCTTGAAGTCCAATTTTTGCACAAAATTGCAAAAAATGACTGTAAAACATGTGGATTCTCCAGTTCACTTAATGAAGATAACAGCTGTTCTTCCTGTTTGGCGCATTTTGAAGCGACCGACATGAATTTGAATGGTGAACAATCCAAACTATGGGACAAATGTACATTCCAGAGACTGGAAGATCATCAGAGTACAAGGACTGACCCTCTTTATTCAAGAGTGGGGACAGAAGAGGCTGAAAATCAGTTGAAATGCGAAATGCGACGTGAAGGCAAAATAGGTAGTAGAACTAAGCCGCATTCTGAAGCTTCCATTGTTTATGACAAGTGTGCATTAAATAGCAGTAGTGATCTGAAGTGCAAGCACGGTATGCTTCCAGAAGCACAGGAGAAGTCCACAGTTCCAGAAAGGACTTCAGATGTCTTGCAGATCAACAGAGCAGACTGCCAGTTTGAAACTGATAGGGTTCCTGCATCATTTCAGGAGAATGATGCTAAAGCTGAAGAGAGAGGTACTGGTTGTACCGTGACTTTTACTGGGTCGGATGAAAAAAATACAGAACTCTGTAAAAGTGGATCTTTGCCCCACATGCCTGAACCAAGTCAGATGGAACCCCTATGTCCTGTCAGGCACCTGGATACTGAACTGCCACCTCACTATGCAGAGATATTCAAGGAGAATACCAAGGACTGTGCTTCAGAAAGCTGCTTGAATCAAGTCAAGGCTCAGGCTGAACTTGTCTGTGTCACAGGCATGAAAGATTCTCAGATTTGCAGTTTGAAAACTTCAGAAGGCTCCAGTGGGATTTGCATTGACCCTGGGCAGGTAGACAAATATGCTGCTACTCCTTCTTATGAAATACCTCTTATTAGCGACAGAGAATCTGAGCAAGGCCATGCAAAGTGTGTACTAGATCTAATGGAAGATATATTACAAGAATCAGACAATACATCTAAAATGGATGCAAGGGATTCCCAAGATGTGGGTGACTTAGAAACAGCAAATCAGTTTTGTCGATCTGCTCCATTAAGTCGTTTGTTTTCAGACAGCAGCTTTGATAATGATCAGGAATATCTGATGGGGTATCTGTGGATTAATTCATCTTTTAACAAAGCTGATAAAACATGCAATACTAGTGAGATGCTACAAAACCAAGCCGGAGACATGGCAGTTTCTTCCTTTGGTATCGGAGGATTTCCTTACCAGTTGCTAGTACCACAAAACAGTGACATATGGGGGTGGCAAGATACAGATGAAGAACGTGTAAGTACTGTAACTTGATTCATGAGTCATGTTTTTTTTTTTAAAAAAAAATCAGGGTCTAGGGGTTTTTATTGCGTACAACGGATTTTTTTTTTTTTAAGTTTCACATTTGGGGCTTATGGACAGATCATGGTAAATGAAGCCTTCTCCATTTCTCCAGGTCTCCAGTGTTTTTTAGGCCTGTAGCTGCTGGATTCCAGCTTTCACAATCGTTCTGTCTGTCCCCCACTATCTACCTACCCATTCAGCGGCCCGTAGAAGATTTTCTACACAATACGTGTTCTTGTCTTGTATACCCATCCATGCTTTTTCACAGTCGTTCACTCCTACTTCTGTTTGTCTTGTGTACGCTTCCTGTCTCACACTCGTACTCTCTCCCATTTACTCGTGGGTTTTTTCCTTTTGTGACAAGGGTTCACTGCTGTAAGGACACCACACCTTTTATCCTGTGCATAAAATTCTCCACTTGTTGGTAATCCTTGCCTTGTCCTGTCCTCTCCATGCTTATTTGCATGATACAGAGTGAAGTAGTTTTGGTTCTATGTTGAGAAAATCCAATTGCAATTGGTTCTTTTCTAACTTTCTACCATATACACTTTCCCAGGTTGTTCCTTCAGATTTCAAATGACTTTGACTGATACTTCAATTTCATATTGTAGGTAGTGAGTGGTTTGGTATTGCTGCGATGTCCCTGGTTGAAATCTGACTTTAGGCTACCTAGCAAGTCCATCTCCCAGCCTTTAGCACCTGCTTCTCATCTGTAGTTCTGACCTACCTACACACATATTATAAGAAATGTGTGTGTGTGAGAGTTGCTATAGAAATCGTAAATATGGTGTAATTATCTTCACAAGTAACTTGGGGTGAGTTTTAGTGCTCTTTCTTTACAGATAGTGCAAGAAATGCACTGGGGGGCACAATAGTAACAAGTTGCCATCTAAACCATTTGTTTCCAAACTTGATCGCCATGTTGGGTTTTTAAGTTTGTACTTTGGTAGGAAGCTCGCTAGATGGCCTTGGGCCAGTCTCTCTAACCTACTTTGTAGGGTGATTTTGAGGATAAAATGAGGAACGGAAAACTTTATGCAGTGCTCAGAGCTCCATGGAGGAAGGGCAAGAGAAAAACATAGGTAGATCAGGGCTGTAAAGAGGTCTGTGGGCCCTTAGACAAGGGTTCATTCTGGGCTTCATCACGTGATGTGAAAACAAATCACATGAGTTGTCCAGCTCCATGAGTTCTTCCCTACCACTCTGCTCAGCAAAACTTTGAAGCTTCTGCAGTGACTCTTCCGCCATGGCTGCTTCCATGGGATGAGGGCTCCTTAGGCTGCTGTGTGGTTTCAGATGTTGCCGAGCAGTGTGATCGGGTACTAGTCTACAGTGATCTGGGCTTCTTGAACTCTGTCCTGCTAGACCTTGGATAGCCTGAACTTTATGGGCCAACTTCACTGCTGAAAGCACTCAAAGGTTGGGAGGTGTGTCGAGTGATAAATTTTCATTTCAACAAAGTATGTAACCGAAATTTGCTTTTGTAGGAGTCGGCCAAGGTTTCTGAATTAAATCCGAATGCTAAAGTATGGGGGAATCACATGTTACATCTGGAAGCAAGTGGTGCCACTGATGGCAGTGTGAGCAAAACCTGGGAAGAAATACCAGACCATCCACCAGATTCCTGCAAAGAAGGTAAGAGTGAGTGGTTTTGAACCTGTGAGTCATGATGCCTATGAAATTAGGTCCCAGGTTCTTGCAGCTGTATAGATTTGTGCATGCTTTGTTTTGGGGTTTTAAGTGGGTAACCTGGACTTGCGCAGCTCTGGACCAGAAGAGTTGGAAACCACTGCTTTAGAGTATCTAGTTTTTGCTTTCCCAGGAGCCCCTTCATTCAGACACTTGTGGACTTGGGACTCTCAAATAGTTGAGACTTTCAAATAGTAGTTTCAGGTGCTCCTCTTTAAACCTTGCGCTCTCTCTCCCTCTCTGCTCAAGCTCTCCCTCTTCCCCTCACCTGTCCTCTCCTGCCTTCTATACATCCCTGTATTTCTTTTTGTGCATGGAAAAACTTATCTTTTTTTGGTTTAGACAAAACAAAGAATTTCTTGGTGACTTTTGCAGTTTTTTTCTGCAGGTTTGGAGGCCAATGGCGATGGTGACAAGAAGCACCAGAATGAATCGCTAACGGAACTGCAAGAACAGTCGCTCACAGTTCCAGTATCAGACCAAACCGATATGAACCCTTTGGCTTTAGATCATTCAGAATATGAATCTCTGCACGAAAATACTCAGACGGGTAAGGAGGGGTCTTCAAGCAAGTTCATTTGTTTCTTTAAATTACATTAAATCTTGCTTTTCCAAATTATAACATGATCGTTGATGTTCATATGTCAGGCCAGAAAAGTAAAGAGCTTCCAAATTATTTAGACTTATTTGAACAACACTGTAAATACAGGCTTTGCTTTAAAAAAACAGACAAAGCAGCAACAGTAGTCCTGTACACTTAATAACATGGGCTGAATTTGAGAGCGTATATTAGTATTATAGCCTTATGAGGTCTCAGAATATTTTTGTTAACAAGCCATTAACAAACCAGTATGCATGGCTAGCACCAGCTCTCATAGATGGAATCTTTGGAGCCAGAATTCTCCTAGATGGAGCTGGTGCTCCCTTTAGGTGCTTGGTTCTCATCAATGTAGTCCTGGGATGGGAGTGATACAGAAAACCTGCAAAAAATCCCGATGGGGGGGAGCCGTAATAGAGAAAGTGTAATGGCCAGAGTGGTCTAGGATCTGGGAAACCCAGATTCAAATTCCCACATTGCCATCAGGCTCACATGGGGTTACTGTGGGCCATTCACTTTCTCTCAGCCTAATCTACCTTGCCAGGGTCATTGTGAGAATAAAATGAAGGGAAGGGATAGACTAGGATATTGCCACCCTGAGGTCCTTGGAGGGAGACTGGAAGAAAAATGTTATTAAATGATCAAAAATGATGTTCCTATATATATAACTATAAATGTATCTATCTGTGTGTGTATAGAGGATACATAATAGACTGGATCCTGCAGTGGGTTTCTGTGAACAGAAGAGGGGGGTATCTCTGACTGATTCTCCACTTGTTGGCTAATAGCCTCCTGCTTTTTCCTGTTGTCTCATATATCCCAGGAGCAGCATTTTGGGCTCCACTGGAGACAGATAGGGTGGTCCCCTCTGTCAGAATTTGAAAGCCCTTCTGTTGGCAGAAATGTTCAATGGGATCCAAGCCAATAGTTTGTCCAGATGGTTGTAAGGCATACTTCGTTTAGTTGAATGTTCTTTTTTGGGAAGCCCAGTATCGGTGCTTGAGAAGCGCTAGGAATGCAGCCTGTTTAGCATTCTAAAACAGAACATCCCTCCCCCAACTATGCCATATGCAATTGGTGGACTTCTTCGGAAAAACTTACAGCAGGGGTCCCCAGCATGCCCGTGGGTGCCATGGCACCTGCCAGTAGTTCCCCTGGTGACCACTGAGCTTTTCAGAAGGGGGAAGGGGCATTGTAAGGCGGAGCTTGTTGCTGGCTTCTGATGTCTTCAATAGTATCAGGAGTGATATTAAGCCCCCAAGGTTATCTTAGTTATTGGGTGGTTCCATTCCCCCTTTTCTTTCTCCTTTCCTCCCTGAGTATTCCTTTTTTTCTCCTTTTTATTCCTCTCTTCTTCTTTGAGAAACAAGTTATTTAAATACTTGACAGGAAAACATTCTTAATAAACAGCCCCCCAGTAAAAAGGCTTATTAATATGAGAAGCTTGAGAGAAATTTAAATGAATGTCAATAAATAGAATGTCACTAAGAATGGTGGCCAGTCAAAGTAGAGGTGGTTCCAACCTTGGTAGTGTAATGATCTTACTCAGCATAAGGCTTCGTGTGTCTGTTGTGATTAAAATTAGACGGAAGGGTAGAATGGTGGGAGTGAAGTTGTGATTTGGAGTGGAGTTTGTGACCAACTTTTGCAATGAGCTTCATTTGCAAAACAGAGAGGAAGCTTACAGTCCAGGTTGCTGAGTTTTTTGCATGAGGGGACATGAGTGTTCAGAAGTCCACCTCCTCCTTCTCCAAGCTTGCATCCTCCCAGTGGCTGGACTTCCAAAGCTTGACAGATCAGTGACTTGACTCTGAATAAAGCAATTTCATTTTTTCAGCATGACTGCCAGGCAATTCTTTTACAAAGTGGGGACAGAGATACTGTGTGGCAGCCATGTTGGGATTGGCTTTGCCTCCAGTGGGAGCCATTTTAGGGTCATACTCAGTGTTCCCTCTAAGCTGAGTCAGTGTGAGCTAGCTCACAGTTTTTTAGCCTCTGGCTCACATGTTTTTGTCTTAGCTCAGGAAGGAGGGCTCCAGAGCAAACTAATATATGCAGTAGCCAAATCGCTCGCTCACAACGTTAATGGCCATAGCTCACAAAGTAGAATTTTTGCTCACAAGACTCCACAGCTTAGAGGGAACATTGGTCATACTCATTACTCTCTCTCAAAATTACGATGGTGCCCAGAGGCTCAAAAAGGTTTAGGACTCCTGATTTAAAGTAAGACTACACAGCTAACTACGTTTCTTTGTAGTTAGAAACTACACTTCAAACTCTGTAGTGTCGTACACTAAAGATTATGGCATTTTATGAGCAGATTTGTAAATTAACGTAGATTGGAGGGAAGAAGAGACAATCTCCTTTCTTCACCTGCTTCAGCTATAATAGGAAAGGAAGTGTTTGAGAATGGAGAGAGTCTTGCTGTCCATGGCACAGGAGAAGTTTTGGGGGAAGCGAGTCGCGTGTGCTTCCATCCCGGCTTCTAAATACCACATAAACATGAGCAGTCAGGCAATGCTTGTCCGGCCACCTTGTTTTACGTTAGGGCAGAGGTGGAAACCATTCCATTCTGATTAAGTGGCTCTTCAGTTGCAAATCATGGATCTGTTTTCATAACAAAAGCCCTTCCAAATTTTTTAGATGTTTTGCGAAGCTACTGGTATGTATTCTCCATCCAAGGCCCTCTGAGTACTAAAAATGCTGCAATTCTTGCGTTATTACATTTATATTCAAAGTCAAGAAAGTAGATGTTACTGAAAACATTTTCTGTGGTTCTCTGATCTAGAAACAGTCAATTTATGACTCTTTTAAAAATCAAGCACCTAAGCATTCACTTAATGGAGAAGTAGTAACATTTCTAGTTTTCTGGGTTTGCAGCGATGGCTTTCCATCTAATGAATGTTTTATATTGACTGGTTATGTTTTAACTGATGTTTTATATTTTATTGTGAATGTATACTGCTTGTCAGTTCCTGGAAGCCGCCCTGAGCCTGCCTAGCGGGGAGGGCGGGGTAAAAGTGAAATAAATAAATTTTTAAAAATAAATAAAAAGACAAATTTCAATTGTAGTGCCAAGAACATTGCTCATGCTCAGATTTACTGTTTGTTCAGTCTTATGCAGAGCTTAATATTTTCGAAAGCCCATCTAGTTAGCTGCCAGCAGAAATCTTGCATGCATACTTCAGCTGCAGTGATGTCTTTGCTACTTCAGAACTGGTGCTTCATCTATATGAGTGTGTTTGTGTAACAGGGGTGGAACAACAGAATATTCCAGTCTCTCTTGATTGCTTCCAGATACATAGAACCAGTTCAAATATTTACATTCCTTAGTTTGTGCTTCAGATTTCTTAAAAGCATGAGTCACGTGTCAGTGTTAGTGTCGCGACTTGTGTTTCTTTTGTAAAAAGTGTGGCTTCACTGTTCAACTTGCACGGTCCTTCTCATGCTGCCTAATGCATTGTAGTCGGAGAATAAACAAGAGCACACACCTTAAGTGTACTTAAGCGTTATGTTAAGTGTACTTTTGCAGTCCTTGGACTGAATTCCAAAAGTATATTTCTGCCCACAAAAGGAATGTGTCATTCATGGAATCCAGTTTGGTGTAGTGGTTAAGTGTGTGGACTTAATCTGGGAGAACTGGGTTTGATTCCCCACTCCTCCACTTGCAGCTGCTGGGTGACCTTGGACAAGTCACAGTTCTCTTAGAACTCTTCTTCAAAGAGCAGTTTTTGAAAGAGCTCTCTCAGGCCCGCCTACCTCACAAGTTGTCTGTTGTGGGGAGGGGAAAGGAAAGGAGTTTGTAAGCCACTCTGAGACGCCGAGTGAAGGACAGGGTATAAATCCAATCTCTTCCTCTTCTTCTTCTTCCTGCTGTGAGTGGAGGGCCGCCTTTGGTTCCAACCCCATATGTCTAGGATCAGGCGCATCTTTTTATGACAATTACTTCACTTTGTAGAGTTGCATGTGGCCTTATGAAACCAGCTGTCTTGTTGCTTGAAGGAAGCCACTTTTACTAAAAAATAATATTTTATTCTGAATTCATTTTCCATTTCTAGGAGACAAAGAACAGCTGCAGCCAGAAGGTCAAGAAGACTTGCGGGAGGTGCTTAAAAAAACACTGGAATTCTGTTTATCTAGGTAAGCGTGAAATGGTTTGCCTTCTGGCAAGCATTTCTGCTGGGATGAGAACTTTTAAACTGATATTATTGATTTCCGTTGAAGTATTTACGCTTCTTTGGTCACAGTGGACCCCAAAGTGGCTTATGTAAGCACAGCTCAGCTGGATCAGACCAGTGGACATGTATGGGAGTCCTAGCTCCCTCTGTCACTGCTCCACAGCACTGGTATTCAGAGGATTCCTGCCTGTGAGTGTGGAAGTCTGAGAGCCACTGTGTTGTAGTGGTTAAAATGTCAGACTAGGATCTGGTCTGGGGACAGTTTTTAGACCTTGTGATTGAGCATTTAGCAATTCTGTCTGGTGACCAGTACCATCTATGAAACATTTTGTATATGTTTTCTTTGAATGCTGTTGATCTAAGGAATCTTGTCGTTTTCCACATTTTAGCCCAGTCATCATAATCTATGCTATGGATGCATCTGACAAAGAGAGCTGTGTTTTTCAAAAGCTTATGCTACAATAAAGTTTGTTAGTCTTAAAGGTGCTACTGGGCTTTTTACTATTTTGCATCAAATAGTGTGTCATCAGTGAGCCAACCCCTCATATCAGGCCTCCAAAATGTGTGATCTATCATATTCTATCATCCGCAAGACAGAAAAGATGTCAACTATCTGGCAAGTGAGCTGTGTTGTACTTGGTGCAATTTGTAGAAAGCCACCCTCAAAACTCAGCCAACAAAGCACCAAATGAGTATCTCATGGGCAGCAACAAACCGACAGCAAAGAGCGTTGAAGTAAAAAGCATTGGCTGTATTGACATCTGACATAAGTTTCTCAACTTGCATTGGTGGCTATATTAACATAAATATGGACATAAGTTTCTTGACTTGCATCATGCAGACAAATGAAATTTTGCTCTTGAATGAGTAAGTTGACTGTTCATGATGAATTTTCACCTTACAGAGAGAATCTTGCCAGCGACATGTATCTTATCTCTCAGATGGACAGTGATCAATATGTGCCAATAATGACAGTAGCTAACCTCGATCACGTCAAGAAGCTGAGCACTGATATGGACTTGATTGTTGAAGTGCTGCGATGTGAGTAGTTGAGCAAGCGTGCGTTCATGACTCATGCATAAATTGTGAGTGTGCCTATTTATGTTCGGCTGAGAAGCCTTAACGCAGGGGCAGGTATGGCATATTTGTTGCTATGGGATTTTTTTTAAAAGGCCTTGTGGATTTAACTTGTTGGCTTCATCCACAGAGAGTATTCTGTATAATGCAAATAACTTGCAGAAGAGATGCTGCACTATCAGTCAGACGTCTTGAAAAAACCGAAGTCTTTTAGAATTGGGTGCAGGACACGGGACTGAGCTATTACTCCAGCTAAGTTATCTGGGAACTCTGAGGAGATGAGGCAGGATAGAAACATCTTGGAATAGAAACGTCTTGGAAATTTTCGTATAATTTACCTCCTGCTTTAGAATGAGAAACTTAGTGTGGAGAAAATTATTTCAGATCAAGTGTGCTTATGTGAACATTGGTATCCATCAGTTAAAGAAAAATGTGGTAGTTCAGTGGCACCTTTGCTGTTTGCTTGTTCCATACTGAGCACTCAAGGTAAAAAAGGCATGGAACAAAGAACGCTTTCTTCCTGAATGATAAAAGTAATGTCATAGAAGACGTTACGGTGTCTGACAGACGATGAGACCATCATTGTTTCTCCTCTTTTTCTCCTCAGGTTCCATTGACAGGTCTAGTAAATATTCTGAAGGCCAAAGTGGCACCTCTGTGCTGTTAGAGCTTGGAAAAAACATTCCCCAGATACAACATAGATACCTTTTCTGGGGAACCTTGATAGCATCCAGCATATCTAGGTTTCTCTATCTTGCTGCTTTGGGCTGGGCTTAGTAGCCTTCAGTCCTTTGTTTCACTTCAGAAATCTGTAATTCTGCAGCATGTAATGTAGGTTGTATTCAGTTGTACAGATTTAATCAAGGTTAAATATTAACGTACTTCCCTCTGGTCCCTGGCCCAATGTGTGCATTTGGCTCCTTCCTACCATGGAATGTGATGGGGGAATGGTGGTTTAAAGCTAACACCGGGTACCCGTGATATACACATATATGGCGTAACTACAGTTAGTTTTCCTTCCCCAAGCTGACATCCCTGATTAAGAAGCCCAGCTTACGGGGGAGAGCTCATAAGAACATAAGAGGACCCCTGCTGGATCAGACCAGTGGTCCTCCTAGTCCAGTCTGTCCCACACAATGGCTTGTTCCAGTTAATGACTACCATCATTATTGTCCATCTTAACCTGGCCCTGGAAGAGGGAACATCAGTGGTTCCCGATGTAATACGCCATCTTGTGATATAACATCTAGGGCACTTTGTTTAGTAATTGGTTAACTGATTTTATCTGTATTGTAGTGATCTTAAATGATTTTAAATATGTTTTATATTGGCGCATGCCTCTCTGTAAGCCGCCCTGAGCCCGCGTTGCGGGGAGGGCGGGGTATAAATTGAATAAAATAAATTAAAAATAAATAAATTAATTAAGCAGTGCATGCTTTTATGCATCACACATTACTTGAGTTAACCTTTATTGTCTTTCCTTCATTGCCGTCTGTATAAGAAGGGAAGGGGTGAAGAGGGGAGGACCCAAACATGTGTGTAAACCTGGCATGTGACAGATTTAAGCACATGAGTATTTAATCATGGCTAAACCGGACCTCTTAATATCGCCCTATGATGTAGACTCTAAAATCACACATGTGTAAAATAAACGGTTCTGAATGCTACAGAGACCTAGAAACATTAATTGGCTATGCAAGCTTTGGCAGGTGTACGACCCATCCTTAGTTGTTGTTGTTTTGTTGTCTAAATGTTGTTCTCTGGGTTCCCCTAGCATTGCCTTTAGTCCAAGTGGACGAGAAGGGTGAAAAAGTCAGGCCAAACCAGAATCGCTGCATTGTGATTTTACGTGAAGTATCCGAATCTACTCCTATTGAAGTAAGTACCTTCTGGTTTCAAAACTTCCTTTCCATCCATTGTGCACTGACCAGGTATTAGCTAGAATTAGGCATTTACCAGTTCATTTTTCATTTGACCTTTATGGCACCAGAATATATGTACTTCATTTACTGCATAGGCCTTGCCGGCTGGCTCAAGAGAGTGTTACAACTGGGGCACTTCAGCAATCAGTAGCTTGCCTGTATGCAGTCTAACCCAGACTATCCAAAGAGTCTGCAGTTAAGTCATTTTTACCCCCAGTGGCCTGTAAGTGCAAAGCAAAGTCTTCCTTAGAAGATTTCACAGCATTGCAGTGGAGAGCAAGGATCACTCTCACATACGTGGGTTTAGAGATGTGAAGGCCCGGAAAAATTCAGGGGGGAAACGGTTTTCCCCCCATTTTTTCCTGAAGCCTTTTTTGTTTTTTTCCGAAAAATTGGAAAAATTGAAAAAACATTGATTATGGAACGTTTTATTTTAACATGATGAATAAAATATTTTAATCAAATATTTTAAAATCATTTCTAAAATATATATATATGGTATCAGATTGATCTAATTTCTGTGCACTGAGGACAAGCAAGTCCTAGGTTACAAACTGAACTCTCCAATGCAAGAACAAGATGCATTTCTTCCTTTAGGAGGTGCGATTGTCAGAAGAAAATAAAAAAGTTTCAGTTTTGTTTTTACATGTGGTTGGGTATTCTGTTTGTAATAATTGTTTGGATACATTATATTTTTAATATGCTAGTTGTGATAATTTCATGCCAAGTAAAAATGTCCATAGTCATATTTTATGTTCCTAAAGTAACAGAATGACTTTCAATCTAGAAAAGACAAAAGATATGCTAATGTAGCATTTTTTTCAATTTTTCCAAACATTTCCATTTTTTTCCGAGCTTCAACATTTCCAGAAATTTTACATCTCTACGTGGGATCAGTCTTCTGTTTGTACACTGCAGGGGAGAGCGGATTTCCAGTGGAAGCCTAGACACATTATGCTGTGGGGTGTATGACTGCGTGTTCTCACATGCATGTAAATAAAAAATAGTCTCTTGATCAGTGTTCCCTCTAAGCTGAGTTAGTGTGAGCTAGCTCACAGTTTTTTCGCCTCCGGCTCGCACATTTTTGTTTTCTCTCAGGAAGGATGGCTCCAGAGCAAACTAATTTATGCAGTAGCCAAATTGCTCGCTCACAGCTTTAGTGCTAGTAGCTCACAAAGTAGAATTTTTGTTCACAAGACTCCACAGCTTAGAGGGAGCATTGGTCTCTTGATAATATCCGAATATTAGCTATATATAAACAGCAGATTGGAGTGTGAAGAAATTTTGGAGCATTGATGATTGAAGTCTTGATGAAATCTAAAACTCACTGTGTTTGAGGACCTTTTTAGGGGGAATACTTACAGGGACCCCAGAAGCACTTCTAGATTTTTAGGACTTGCCTCTGTATTGCCTTGGAAGCCACTGCCTGTCATCCTGGACAGTATTGATCTTCACAGACCAGTGGTCTGACCTAGGCAGCTTCATGCATTCACAACTGTTTATTCATTCGTCTTTTTCCTAGGAGGTTGAAGCGCTCTTCAAGGGAGATAACTTGCCTAAGTTCATCAACTGTGAATTTGCCTACAATGACAACTGGTTTATTACATTTGAGTCAGAAGCAGATGCACAGCAGGTAAGATCTCACTTCCTGTTGGCATGCATGTAGACGGAGACAAATTCCCATGAATGGAAATAGTACACAGAAGCAGGGGTCGTTTCGTAGAAAAAGAGCTAGGGGAACTCATTAACATAACTCATTAGCATATGCCACATCCCCTGACATCACCAGAAGTGTGTCATAAGGCCACACACCCTGCCCCCAACGGTCCCGGCCGCCGCCGGCCTTGCAACTCCACTGCCGAGCCCCATGAGGGGCCCGGCGGTGGACCTGCAAGGCCGGCGGGTGTGCAAGGATCCCCGCGAAGGCCCTCCCTGGCCTCAGGCAGGCAGGGGTGGGGAGAGGCAGGGAGGAAGCAACTTACCCTCCCTCTTCTCCTGCCTCCTCCTGGCTGAATGAGGGCTGGAAGCGGGGCGGCCGGAAGCAGGGGGCGGGGCTTCGTCATGTGCCCCGCCCCCCCTACCTCACCCAGGGGAACTGCGATCCCCCGCGATCCCCCCCCCCGAAATGACCTCTGCATGGAAGGCATATGTGCCTTTGTAGAGCCACCCCTGGGTGTCAGGGACCCCCTGAACAATATGGAGTGTGGCACAAGGAGGTGCAGCAAGGAAGGGAGATTAAGTGAAATCAACATACACTGCTGCTATTGCACAACTGTTTGCAAGGGGGAAATGGCAGAACTGGGAAGATCTGCTTCACAGACTCAGTGTGTGTGTCTGACTGTTTGGATCCAGTTAGCTGTCCGTTCCAGAGATTGTTGCAGCAGGATCACAGATGAGGTGGCACATCCAGAGTCCCATGAATTTGTTAAAGACACAGTTTGAAGGAAGTTAAGTTCCATGAAAACCAGTTAGTTCTCAATTTATACTGAGTTTAAAAAGGGACTTCAGCATACCTGCCTAGCCTAAATCCGTTCTAAGACCCCGTTCACACCAACAGCATTATGTTTTGGGAACAGGTCATAAGAGTTTGGACGAGTTTCTCCTGTCTCCTCTTAGCAACAGAATGCAGCATTGGGTATGCAGTGTTAAAATGAAAACAGTTATGCTCCTGAATTTTGAGAACTTGGCTAAGATCCATTATATGAACAGAAAAAAAACTTTGGCTTTTGAAGGGAAAAGAAATTTTGGAAAAAAATGAATTATATGTAGTACTTCCATATCAAATCTAAACTTACCATACTGTTAAGATCATAAAATGCATACTTTTGTAAGTTAATATATAAAATTGTATTACATGGCATTTATAAAATCTGAAGCATAAATGCCTGTTCCCTACAAACATTTTTTAGAAGATAAGACCTATTTTGACAGAAACAATCTCAAGAGAACTAGCAACATAGTTCAATATGGAGTTGAACTTTATCACATTGAACTCTTGGAGTATTATCACAAATTATACAACATATTTAATTATGGACAAAATCAGGTACTTATGATTGAAGATATTGTATAGGTTTATGGTGTATGTAGGAGCTATTCTCTAATGCTATAGATGCTTATGTAGAAATCTTCATACTAAACCAGGGGTGGCCAGACTTGCTTAATGTAACAGCCACATAGAATAAACGTCAGATGTTTGAGAGCTACAAGACATGAACAAATATTACACACATGTTTTTATTGGAAAATATGCAAATTTGCTTTTTATTAACATTAAATTGGACTGTGTGAAAGAGCCGCATGTGACTCCCAAGCTGCAGTTTGGCCACCCCTGTACTAAACGTTTTGAGTGAAGCCTTTTCTTAAATAGAATGTTGCATATTCCAAAAGGGAAAATATTCTTTACAGTTTTTTCCCATAGGTGGGGCGGCTAAACCATTTTACCCTGGAACAAGACTACCTATTTTTTTAAAAAAAATAATCCTCAGTGCTAATTGATTTATTACCACTCAAAACAAATATTTGTTGTTCTTAAAGGCTTACCGATACCTTAGAGAGGAAGTGAAAACTTTCCAAGGAAAACCAATTAAGGTAAGTGTGCCATGCTGTTCTTTTAAAAAAAAAAAAAAATGTTTGCTGTAATAGTTGAATTCTGAACACTCAGCTCACATAATGTTCTGTCTTACAGGCAAGAATAAAAGCAAAGGCGATAGCTATAAATACATTTTTGCCAAAGAATGGATACAGACCTCTGGATATGAACATCTACACACAGCAGCGTTATACAACATCATTTTACTTACCTCCAGTATACAGCCCCCAGCATCAGTTCCCACTCTACAGCTTAATAGCCCCACAGACTTGGTCAACGACACACAGCTATCTCGATCCATCATTGGTAAGCACCGGAGAATACATTTGCTCGCTGAATGTTCTCAGCCCCTTGAATCATTGGCTTTGTAATTTTTCTTCCGTTAATCACCTTTAGCCATTGGAACCTTCAGAGCATTCAGTATTCTGCAAGTGTTGTACAGGCTTGCTTGAGATGTGTTACCTTAATATCTGCAGAGAGCATTCTGTTTTATTTATTCGCTGTGTGCTCTTGCTCTCTGCTGGCCTTGGTATCGCAGTGGCATAGTGAATTCCATTTTATCGCTCCGTCATAATGTTCCATTGTCGTTTGAAATAATCTTGTCCTGCCGTCCCCAAGCGAGGCACGTTTTGCTCCTTACTGTCAAATGTAGCAGCAGAAATTTAGAACAGTTAAGGCCAGACAACAGTTCTTTCGACTTCTTCCCAATTCAGTGCACGTAGTTGTATCAAACTAAATGGGAGTTGATGAATTATTTGTCACACTTTTTTTGTAGTACGCAGTACCAGTTTGTAAGTTAAAACAGACTGTGACTTCCACTTGCCCAGCCTATTTCCATACCCCAGAAAATACAAATCAGTGAGACTCTGAGCAAATAAGCTAGGAGGAGTAAATTATGAGACATCTACACAATTCCAGTTGCTTACACCAAGTGCCGTTCCAAGCCCAGAACCAAAACATTGTTATGTTTAGAAAGCCTCTATTATGTGAAATTCAAAGCAGCGATTGTCTTACATTTTGCCTAGGCTCAAATCCAAACATTCACTTTTACTGTTCCTAGTCATCAGGCAGGAACCATATCATGGTCTCCAGTTCTGAGGTCTAAAAAGCTGGAGAGGCTTCCTTGAAAAGTAACCTTGGATTTATTTTGCTGTTGGCTAAACCCAGTCATCTTGCACTTGTGAATGTATCCAAGTAACAGTTGAAGCAAAAGCGTATGGTAAAGTCCATCCTGGATTGTACTATATCAGATTGTGTAGGGTTTTTTTTACCAAAAAAATAACAGTACATTGGGAATGGAGAAACGTCTTTGATCTGTTCCATGGAATTCTAGCATGCTACGTATAAAGAATTTTGTAGTATGAGGAGCTATCAACATGGCCTTGCATGGATTGAATTTAGAGAGTTGCATGCATGGATTGAATTTAGAGAGTTGTCTGATTATAGCTTGATAAATACTTGGTATGATTTTTTAAATTTAATAAGAGTTTTGGAATTGTATTGAAGAGTTCCAGCAAAACATTGTTAATGAACATTTAAGATGGATATAAAATCATGACGCATCCTAAAAGAAGTCCTATCTGCGGCTCAAACAGAAGTTGAGAGATGCCTAGTGCTTTAAAGAACCACTAGAAATAAGGCCCGTTGTGGAAATAAATACAACGAGATCTAGAAAGAGGCTCTGGGAGAGTGCTCTGGCTTTGGGCAAACAGTGTCAGTCTGCTTTTAAAACATGAATCTGGGACCTGCACACCACCAGAATACAGCAGATTCCATATGCAACTGACATTCCAACTGCCTTGCGGGGGGGGGGGAGTTTGAGGTGTGGAATGGAGTGAAGTCCAATCAGCTTCCATATGCAAAAGACCAGGTTGTCGCAGCAGTTGTGGTGTGGGCGGGACCCGGGCTTTGCCTTCTGATTGGTGGCGATATATGCTGAGGAGCAGTGCCATCAGCCATACACTAAGGAGTGCATTTTAGAATTAGAACTTTGGCACCCACTATTCAATTATATATAAGGAGAGATAGCTCTGTGATTAAGAGTCACAAGGCTTACAAATACGTCACCTACAGTGCTTCTCTTCTATATAGGTAACACCGTTTCCAAACACTGGGTTTATCAATGGTTTCACATCTCCTACTTTCAAGCCTACTGCTTCTCCACTGACTTCACTCAGACAATATACTCCCAGAAACAGGTAAGTTCTAAATGGGGGGGAGGGGTTTCCCCATCTTGGGAGCTGTGGAATGAAATCTGTCAAGAGAATTGTTTGAAACGGCTTTTGGGGAGGAGCCTGCATCACATTGGCAGTGTTCCCTTGGACGCTGGTTGGCGATCTCCACTGAACAGCAGTACAGAAACTGTTGATTGATTTTCCATGCAGCTGACTCAAATTAAAGCCCTGGGTTAGGTAAAAGTTACTGTAAGCAATTCAGTGGCCCAATTAAGATTTGCGGTCTGTGGGACCTCTCCAAATGAAACTCTGTTAGTTGCTGGGAGGGAATAGCCGTTCCACAAGGAGTGAGGGGCACTGTGTGTTTGCAGAGCGTGGCAGGCACAGTTCTCAAAAGTTCTCAAAACAGGCATGCGTCTCCTTGGGAGTCATAGGTAAGGCGCAAGGGGGAGGCACTAGTAGCAGAACCACAAAAAGGTAAGAATAGGAATGGGATGAGGGAGAACACCTTTCAGGTGGTTAATCTCACTAGGGACCAGTGCGGACTTAGTGGGTTGGATCCAAAGGTGACCTGTTCCTTTAACAGTGGAGTATTCCTTTGGTGCCACAGCTGCTTATGCCAAAGGAAATTTTCAGTATTAATAGAACAGAATACCTTGGGATCCGGTGTGCCTTCCAGAGAGCGAATCCCCCTCTGTCTCCGTAGACTATGGTCAGTCGATGCTACAGCGAATGCTATCCAGTATCTCCATGTAACTGTCTTCAGATCAAGCAGGAACCATGGCGCTGGCTGCAGTTTAGTTAGATGCTGACCTGTTTTAAACACAGCTAAGACAGGATAAGAGGGTGTGTTCCTGTGGCTTCCAGTCCACTGGCTGCCTTCTATGACTTATTGAAGAGTAAATTTGATCTACCTCCAGTGTCTTTGCTTAAAACAAATTCTTCCTTCTGCCTTCCCTCTTAAATTGGTTTTTGAATTGTGTTGGACTCTGAGCTCTGTGAAGAGCTAGGAAGAGCAAGCAGTGTTGACCTTGGGATTACCAACTCTTCGGAGAGATCATGTGCTGAAGAATATCCTTGGTTCCTTTCAGTGTGTGTGGATGGGGGGGGATTTCTAAAAACTGTTTAGAATATGATTTGGTTTTCTCCCCAGGAATCCCAGCAAATCCCATCTACGGCATACGATACCCAGTGCAGACAGAGGACCTGGACTTCTAGAGAGCCCCGCCATATTCAATTTCTCTGCGGATCGCTTAATCAATGGTGTCAGGAGTCCACAAACAAGGCAGCCGGGTCAAAACAGAACACGAATGCAAACCACTTCAAGCTACACCAAGAGGGAAGTAGGGAGTGGGCGAGTAGAACCGGCGACTTCGGACTCGTCCCCGAGCTTAGGACGAGGAAGGTGAGTGTTGACCATGTGGTGCCCAGAGGTTAGTCTAGTGGTGCGTTTCTGTGAATAATAAGTCATAACGAAAGGGTAAGTGAAAAGCAGAGGGAGCAAGAAGGAAATGAAGCAAATCGATGGGGAAAAAGTAGACTAAACATGCGCTGTTAATTGGTTTACAGGTACATGAGAAGGCAGCGGGAATTCTGGTGATTGGGTGCCACAAACAGGGCAGCAGGCAGGCAGAGGAAAACTGGGAGAAGATGGGTATTAAGAACACTAGAATAAGCATGCCAGAGACAGCAGGAGGCATTCTAATGTCTACATAAACATTGTTACAAGAACTGGAATGGTTCTGTGATCAGTACCGTCATAGTAATAATGGCTTTTAGGACCCAGCGTTACAGGGTCAGCTCGAAAACCTAAAGTGCTGTCCCAAAGAACAAACCTACTTAGAACTGTGCCTTAGTGCTGAACTGGGGCTTAAAATAAAGAGCCCTCTGTCTTCCCTAACTTAGAGATTCACGTGACGATTCCAGACTCGGCCTGTGAGCCAGACTGATTTAATCACTAGGGCTAAGGCTGGATGGAGGGTCGGCTATAGAATTGGATTCTGTGCCCACACTTGTGAACTGAGTTTGTACATTGTCAGTGACAGTTGCTTACTCAGATTTCAGCAGTGCAGAAAGTGGACTTCCATAGAGGAAATGTTGGCTCCCCCGCCTCCAGTACGTACCTATGTATAGGATCATCAGTGTGTGGGTTATAGCTGCCTCCACACTTCCGTGCTTTTATAGATTTTGGCCTTCAAAAGACCACAGGTATAACTTCGGCTCTTCTGCAGATCTGAGCTGTCCTGTCTCTGGCGCTTCATTTCCAGCAGAGCTTTATTTAGCACTACTGGTACCCAGCTGCTGATCTGAAATACTGTGGATCTGATTTGCTTCAGTGTCCTTTGTGTGAATGCTTTCCTCTCCAGTCAAGTGTTCAAGAACTGCCTTTTCAATTTGGCTCTATCAGCCTGTGCATGATAGCCTATTATAACTGTGCAGTGGGTTCCCAACTCCAGAGGAATGGCTTCGCTTGAAACATTCTCTTTTTCTCTGATATTTGATAGAGATTGTGGCATTCAGGTTTTCAACTGAAACGCAGCCTGGAAGCAGAAGACTGTGTGACTGCCTTGCGCACTTACAACAAATTAGGTTATGTAATAGCTTCAGCAGGCTGAAGTAGTCAAGAATTCACTCTGCTGTTTGATGATGGAAGATTAAAACCTTCAACTTCTACCCTGTACCCTGTTAATGAAATAACGAAACATATTCTCATTCAGAGGGTGATAAGCATCTCTTTTTTACAAGGCAAACAGCTTCTAGTTTTCGAAAAACTAGTGAACAGATAGATTTTTATCGGTTTTCCTGCTCCCAGCCTCCCACACAAATTTTGGTTAAAAGCCATTACAATGACAATTTTCCACAGTTTAGAGCCACACTCTTTGTTTCTGTCCATTTTCATTTATTAACTTTGGTTGATGTCAGAGTGTCCTAATGGGAAACTTGGAACCATGACGTCCTAAAACTTTGGAGCTCAAAGAAGCACTATCCTCATTGGTGTGTTGTTTTCCATCTTTGGAGGAGGGGACAGTGATTTCTGCTGATGGCCCCCTCTTGCTGCAGAACCCCAGGTGACCCCCTTGCTGTGATTTGCTGGGCCCCCCAGCAGAAACGTAATTTAATGAGGCTCAGTAAGTTGCAGTGCGCGGGGGGAGCATGAAAGTCCCTGTTCTGCGTGGTCTATTCCAGAGCAGAGGTTGGATACAAGCCATTATAACTAAACTCAGATTTCCTGTTTATCTGGTTTGCAGCAGTTATTGTTTAGTGGTATGATTTATTTACAGAATTTATATCCTGCCTTTCTGCCCTTACAAGAGCCACCAATTTAAAGCATGCATGATAAAATCACATTTTAAAACCATTAAAATCAACCCCCCTCCCATAATTAAAACTAAAAATCATTAAGGCTGAGCCAGTATGTTATAGTGGTTAAGAGTGTCAGGCTAGTATCTGGGAGACCTTGGTACAAATCCTTACTTGTGCCAGGAAGCTCGCTGGTGACCTTGGGCCAGTCACACTCTCTCAGCCTAACCTACCTTACAGGGTTGTTGTGAGGATAAAATGGAGAAGAGGAGAACGGTGTAAGCTGCTTTGGGTCCCCATTGTGGAGAAAGGCAGGGTACAAATGAATTAAATTAAAAAAATTAAAAAATCATTAAAAACCAATGATAATTGAATTAAAATACATACAAAGAAATAAAAACAGCAATTGAACCATTGCCATTTAACTGCTGCTTACTTTGTAGGATCATATTCAGCATATGCTGGCCACTTACCCATAACGATGCAATTTGTCACTCATTGTCTGCCTAAGTGCAGTATTCGGGTGTGCCTGGACAGCTGTAAATCTTGGTTTGACAATTAAGACTTTCCTTCTACATCTTCATCTATCACCCTAGCTTTTGTCAGATTAATCATCAGCTTGTACCCTTTACCAGCCCTGCATGCATATCTAACCTGTAGCTAGACTTTCAGCGCTGTTGCATCACAGACTATTTGGGCCGTAAACATCTCTCGCACAGAGACTGGCCGAAAGCTTGAAAGAGTTCCTTCTGTGCAGTGGGAATCTTGTGTTAAGAATGCATACTTGATTGAAGTGAGAATACTGGTACAAATCAGCTGAATTTTCAGTTCAGGAATACAGGGATAAACAGTTGGAATTGTATGGGCACTATGATCCTTGACAAATATAAAAGGGAGGGCAGTCTTGGGGAAGGAAAGGAGATTGTAGAGGGCATATAAGCTTTGTCTTATTGATATTTTAACTTCTAACCCATCCGCAGAATTATTTTTTTTTGCCATACGGGATGCTTGGAAATATCTCTTTAAAAACACACAAAGGGGTGGGGGGTTGGGCCCCTCCCCCGCTATATTTCCCTGGCATAAATATGGTTCTGGGCTGCTTGGATGGTCCAAATAGGCAGAGTGGTTTTGTGTGTGAGAAAGAGAGATAATAGCTCTCAGTGCAGCGAATATGTTCATCGGACCATGCACTTGGATAGGATTGACAAGATGCTTCTTCTGGGTTTTTGCTTTTTCAGCTACGTAGTATTCCTGCATAGCAGCTACTGTGTACAAACAGAACAACAACAAAAAAACCCAGTCATCTCCTGCTGGCTTTATTGGATTTTGGCATTCTTTGTCCTTCACCGATGGTTTTCTCATGGCAAGAGTGGGTTGATAGGCTTCAGAAACGTGCCTTTGGAGATGACTTGTGTTCAAAGGTACCAGCTTGCCTCCCATCATGCCACTCAGCCAGGTCTAAAGTCTTCCTCCAGTTCAGGGGACCTGCCTTTGGAAGAAGTCGCCTTGGGTCAGAGCCAGGCTTTAAACTTGGCTGAGCCGGGTGGTAGGGTACAAGCCACAGCCATTTCCCCCCTGTTCCCCAGCTTGTATCTTTGACTTGAACAGTACATAAGAACATACATAAGAACATAAGAGATGCCAATGTTGGGTCAGGCCAAAGGCCCATCCAGTCCAACACTCTGTGTCACACAGTGGCCAGAAATACCAGTGCCATCAGGAGGTCCACCAGTGGGGCCAGGACATTAGAAGCCCTCCCACTGTTGACTACCCCCCAAGCACCAAGAAGACAGAGCATCAGTTGCCCCAGAGCCCCTATCTATACCTTGTGGCTAATAGCCACTGATGGACCTCTGCTCCATATACTTATCTAATTCCCTTTTGAAGCCGTCCATGCTTGTAGCCGCCACCACCTCCTGTGGCAGTACCGTTTCTGGCCTACAGTTGAACATCCAAACACAGGAATTTGGTACCAAATAATATACTTGGGAACTTGCATGGGCTGGATTGACCGTCTTTCAGTGGAGTTGCTGTCAGGTGATGGGAGGAATTTTGTAAACAGCTCCGCTAATAGGTAACCAGATCAGCATCAAGTTGTCTTGCAGATCTGTTGCCTTCCATTTGTACAATGTAGCTAAGAAACTGCTGTTTCACAAGGGAAGTAGACAGATTGTGGCCTCCTGAATGTCACTGGAGGACAAATCATGTTACCTTTCTTCTCTGCTTCTCAAGGCTTGTCAGACCTGCTTAACATGGCCTTAAGAACCCATTTAAGATAGAAGTGTTGGTTTTTTACACTTTGAATTTCAGAAACATCTGCATAGTCAGTTAATAAAATAAATCAAGAACACTGATGTGGTATATGTGAAGGCTATATACGTGAAGGTTGAAGTTATATGTCATTCCTTTCCTTTTCTTTTTTTTTGAGGGGTGTTGTAAAAGTAATCTGGTAATTTGTTAAAGTTGTTTTCTATCCAAACCATAATCATCTGGTGGTAGTAACTGAAGATCTGGTTGGTGCAGGTTATTGAATGTTTCTGGAAACTGAGGGTTCCTGTATTAATATTTATGCTGTTATAAAGGCAAATGGAAAATGTAATGCCCGCTGTTTCTTCTTGAAACTCTTTAAAATCCTCCTTCTCTATATATTTGAATGTCTGACTTTGTTTAGTCAGTGTAACCTTCACATATTAACAGAGGTGTAAAACGAGAGTAAGATTCTGATGACGATTTCTCTTTCTAGAAAAAACTCGTATGGCTATCGGAAGAAGAGAGAAGACAAGTTCACGGTGAGTCGGTTTCTGTGACTAGCTTGGTCAGGAGTGACAGAAGAATATTGATTCACCTCTTTATACGTAGCCTCCTATAGAAGGGATTTCTTCATCTAAATACTAAACAGGAAAATGACCATTCTAAATAGCTTTGATGCAGTTGCTTCCTAGTCATCACGGGCAAAATGCTGAGATTATTCTCAGCAGATCTTCGCTGTGGTGTGAAATTACTTGAAAGGGCAGGGTTTGCTCAGGTGGAACATACTCTTTTTCTTTTCTCTCCCCCCGCCCAAAATGCTGGCTTCATTTACATTTCGGACAACTAAGTAGTATCTTTCACAATGTCAGGGGGTGTCCCGTGTTCTCAAGTCTGCCCCCTCCTGTTGGCCACATATGGTTTTTTTAACGACCCACTTAGGATATCTAGACTCAGAATTCTGTCCATGTGTGTAATGATAGAAACCCTTTCCCTGCTAGGTTCCCAGTGGATATTCATCCCACTGTTTAAAGGCATCATAGTATTTTCAGTGGAGCGTTCTTAAATTCTGTTTCCCATGCAGAGAGGACAAACACAGTCTCCTCCTCCTCCAAAGCCTCCATCTCCAAGCTTCGAACTGGGCTTGTCCAGTTTCCCTCCATTGCCAGGAGCTGCTGGCAATCTAAAGACAGAAGACCTGTTTGAAAACAGACTGTCAAGCGTGGTCGTAGGGACGACAAAGGAGCGGGTGAGTGTGTGTAAAAACTGGGCTGGCAGAAGGCGGAGGGCCAAAGGAAGGTCTCCCACTTGCTTCTGCAACCACCTCAACTCGCATAAAGCAGCCTCCATTTAATGGGTAGAATCCCAGGTTTCATCTACAGTCCATGTGAGCTTCTGAGTTGACAGGCTTTTATGGCTGGGTTTTGAATTCACCTGGAATGGCTGGTTTTTAATCTGGTTTCAGCAGCTGGCACTGCTGGTTCTTGCATTAAACATATTAGAAGAGACCATATTCACTGGTGCGTTAAGGGGCTGAGGGAGACTCAAGTGGGTTAGCACATAGTCTTGCAGTAGTGTGGAGCTATCTTACTTGGTGTCCGAAGGCAGAGACAGAATGGAAGAACAGCTGGAGGGGAAAAGGTGCCCAGAGTGTCTTTAATGCCTGGAAGTATCCAGAGAACCAGAGGCAGAGCTTTCAGTCAGCTGTAAGGCAGTGCCTTCTAGTAAATCGGGCCGGTAGTCTGTCTTGTCCTGTTAATGCAGACAGTGGCTTTGCAAAACATTGGTTAGGATTTTCATCCCATTTTCCCTCTTTCTTTTTTGGCATCATCAGTTCAGTCTGTCGTATTTGGAGCCCAGAGTACTTTTTCCCTAAAGTCGCATTTGATTGCCCTGCAGGTTTTGAGCTGTCCTGCAGCTTGCTTGGGTCATCTGGAGCTCTCCGTGCAGTTGACGGCAGCGCATTTGGCCCTCTGGTGTGGTGCTCCATCCAGGCTTGGCCCTTGCATGGCTGGCTCTCCACAGCAGGAACTGGGCCCTGTGACTCTGTCCTTCCAGTGGTGATTCTATAAAGTCATTGTGCGTCTTCAGCAATGCTCCCTCTAAGCTGTGGAGTCTTGTGAGCAAAAAATCTACTTTGTGAGCCACTGGCATTAAAGTTGTGAGTGAGCAATTTGGCTACTGCATAAATCAGTTTGCTCTGGAGCCATCCTTCCTGAGCCAAGCAAAAATGTGTGAGCTGGAGGCTAAAAAACTGTGCGCTAGCTCACACTAACTCAACTTAGAGGGAACATTGGTCTTCTAAGTATATTCTGCATGTGCAACCCCTGCTGTAAATTAAGCATGCTTGAAATGACCCAGACTTCCTTTTCTTCAGAGCCTCAATGTGGATACAAGTACAAACACTATTCCACCAGGAATTCCTCGCGAGCCTTTGTTGCCAGTTACTACTTCTTCTCTGCCCGGAACGATTGAGAGGTCTCCTTCCCCATCCCGGTCTCCTGAGTAAGGACCTAATTATACATCACTCTAAATAATACTGCTTTGGACTGAGAGTTTGCATTTTCTGTAATCAAAAGCTTAGGCTCGATGCTGTATGAACAGCTCTCGAACGGCTCAGTAAGCCATGCCCCATGGGTAACCTGCAGCGGTAGTCTAGGTTTTTAATAGTGTATAGTCAAACGCTAATCTTAAGCCTGACTCTTAATTTTGGGAAAACAGCAGCATGCATCCAGGGAGCTAGCAGTTTTTGGTTCCCCTACAGTATACAGGCAACCTCCTTTCCTGTAAAATGGAGTTGTTCCGCCACACCTTTGGCTGAGGCGGTGGGTGTCCAGCGAAAAAGTTGACCTCCCCTGCTGACGTTCACCAGCTCAATGTGGCCCAGAGCAGTAGATCTGAGAGACCTGGTGGTACTAGCTTTGGAAATTGTGTGTATAATAGTGCAATCTGTTTTTATGTTGTTCATAAATTGTTGTTCTTAAATGTCTTCAAATTTTATTATGATGCCGAATAGCTTTGAGATCCGCCTTGAGCCCACTCATGGGGAAGGTGAAATATAAGTTCAAAAAATAAAATAAAAATAAAATAAGTTGCAAGTAGGGATAAAGCCCCCCCCCCCCCCCCCCCCGCCTGTACATTGGCTTCAGTTTTCTAAATGCAAAAGAAGGTGATGTCCCACTCCATTCACATTTTCTTCTCTATCTCTGCAGCGACTCCAAAGCTATGGACAAGCCGCAGAGAGAGACACAAAACACGGAAAGACTTTCTTCCACGCTTACGACCGCTTGTAAATCAGTACAAGTCAATGGGGCTGCCATAGTAGTAAGTGCATTTTGACTTTTATGAGGAGTCCTCCGTTTGTTTATTACCTTATGTTTGTTCTGTGACCATTTCGATAGGAGCCATTTATTGCCAAAAGGGGTCAGCAAAATTCATCTGACCTAAGTTGCTCAGCACTTTAGTTGATGAGTAATGAAGGGGGGGGGAGCTTGAAATCTGTCTTGTGTGTTTGGTATCTTCCTACGTGAGTCACGTTTCTCACTCTTATAACTATCTGAATCTACCCCAAAGTTGAATTAGTTTTCTTGGCCATTATATAATTATACTCCCAGGTACCAAATGGAAGTGCAGAAAGGTGTCTGAAATGCCCTAAAGCTACCAAAGGCTCTAGAGCCACCATGTTTTTCAAGAGCAGGCCTTGGGCAGCTCTTTCTGGCCAGTGTGGCTATAAGTTCCTAGTTTAACTGCAGCCCCTTGACACCCCAAGTTGTTGCGTGGTGGAGCTCAAGAGCTCCTGTATCTATAATATATTAATTGTCTGACCGCTACTGTGATGTACATGTTTTTATTTCCTGACTTCTGCTTAGTCTCCTTCCCCATCTCTAGCACTCTCCATTACTACCGCCATTGCAAAAGCAGTTTTGGCAAGTCTGAAGTATGGTCTTCAGAAGTTACCCTTTAGACTGTACACGTGTGCCAACTCGTTCAAAATGGAGAACCAGATGTCTTCATTTCATGTAGAACAAAGTTTGAGTCCAGTGGCACCTTTAAGACCAACAAAGTTTAATACTGGATATAAGCTTTTGTGTGTATAAGCTTTCTCGGGTATCTGAGGAAGTGTGCATGCACATGAAAGCTTCAACCTAAAATTAAATTTTGTTGGCCTTAAAGGTGCCACTGGACTCAGACTTTGTTCTGTTGCTTCAGACCAGCATGGCGACCCACCTGAATCTAGTTCCATTTTGTGTTGACATTTCATCCCCATTAGAAAGAATGACAGTTTCCAAAGCTGGTTAGTAGGAGTTCTCATTGTTGGAGAAAATGTTACATAAGACTTTCTGTCTGCAATGTGAATGCCCAGGAAGCTGGCAAGCCGCTTGTTCTCAAGTCTCCATCTGCAGTGTGAACACACAGGAGTGGACCCATTGGTCCATCAAAGTCCGTATTGTCTACTCAGACTGGCAACAGCTCTCCAGTGTCCCAGTGTCACATCACCTACCGCCATATCCTTTTAACTGGAGATGCCAGGGATTGAATTTGGGACCTTCTGTATGGCAAGCAGGGGCTCTGCCACTGAGCCGTGACCCTCCTTAACATCTTGCTTGTAAATAATCTCCTCTTCTGGCCTTGGGCAGTCTAGCTTCATTTCTGCATTCTGCTGTATCCTCAAGATTTGGACTGCTATAGCAGCTTCTTGTACAGCTGACCAACTCGGAGACACTTCAGTCAGTGCAAAAAGCAACTGCTCCTCAGGCCAACGCTGGGCAGATTCATCCCTGTTCTGGAACAGCTTCATTGGCTGACTGCATGCTTCCAGGCTCAGGTTTAAGGTGCCAGTTCTTACATTTCGAAACCCTTTCATGACCTAGAACCAGCATGCCAGGAGGACTCCTTGTGCAATTCTTGTGCTCCTCCCAACAGGTTCTGCCGACAATTTATTCCTATCAGGATTGTACAGTCTTCCTCAACCCAGGCCTGGGATTTCCTAGCCATTACCCAAGTAATGTCAGGGAAAGGCAGGATAAAATATATTAAATATCAAAAAGCTTTCCCTGTAGTTAATCTTTGTCCTCAAGTAGAATTGCTCCACTTAGGAAGCAATGGTTACTTTTGTTCAATATTGCTTTGGCTTTTTTAGCCAATAAATAAATAAATAAATCATCACTATCTTGTCCTGTATCTGTGCCTTGTTCTTCTGACCACCCAGGAATTGCGAAAGCCTAGTTACGCAGAGATCTGCCAGAGGACAACGAAGGACCCGCCTCCACTGCAGCCCCAGAAAGAGCAGAAGCCAAACACTGCAGGCTGTGGGAAAGATGAACGGAAGCCCACAGAAACTGTCGAGCGGAGCAAAGAGGCCCCTCCGGTGAAGTCAAGCCCAGGGCAGCCCAGAGACCAGAGAAGACAGTCGGGACGCCGATCACCACCCCCTCCAGCTGCTGGGAAACGCCTCACAAAAGAACAGAGCACCCCTCCCAAATCTCCTCAGTGAAACTAGTGCTTGGGAGGGATTCAAACAGTTCTGCTATCCATGAAGTAAACCCGTGGCCACTCAGAGTACACAGAAAGAGTTGCTGGTTAGGAGCTTGCAGTGGTTGTTGAGTCTACAGGATGCCTGCAAGGGTTTCTCCCGCCCCCCCCCCTTTGGGTTTTTTGTTTTTCCTTTTGTAAAATAGATTGCTCCTTCACTTTCCTCGCACCTCCGTCCCCCACCAAATTCCCCCTTGAGCAAACAGTCTACTCTGTCAGGGTTTAATTAATCTAAACCTTGCGTTTAGATTGATGCTTAACCGGAGGTGATGCCTAAAATCTTTTTTCCCCCCTCTCGATGGAAAATACGTTTACCTGACAAAAAACATTTTTTATGAAGCCTTCATATGGCTGTGTGAATATAAACTTTATCTAATGATTTTTTTTTCATAATCTCTTAAGCAGAATTGCGCTGCTGTAGTTTTTAAATAACTGGTCTAAAGTGCATACCTTCTAAAATGTCTAAAGGATTCATAACAGCAGCTAACACTTAGAGTGCAAGAAAAAGAAGCATTTTACAAGACAGTAAGATTTTTTTCCCTTTTAAATTCTGGCTGCTGTGGCACAGCAGCATAGAAAGCTGTGTATTTTTTTAGTTTTAAAAATAAATTTGATTCTAACATTTTAAAGTACAACCTTTTTTGTTGTTGTTCAGCCAAAAATGAGTCCCTTAAACATCACCCGGGAGGCTTTTCTAGTGTTATTTGTTGGGATGGACAGCAAGCGAGTAACCAGCTTCTCATTAAATAAAATGGTTCCTTTAATTTCAGGAAAAAGGGGGGAAAGCACATTGTGAATAGAAAATAATTAAGTACATAAACCCTTGTTTATGGCAGATTCCAGTTGATGGCTGTGTTTCACAAGGTAGCACAACAGCACTCTTGTGAGGAGGATCTCTATTTATTGCCTCTCAGCCGGAGGAAATTAATTTGAGTCACCACTGTCCTTTCTGGTTTACCCCTGTGCTGTGTGTAAGATTTTTTAACTATGCTCAAAAGTGCTCTTTGAAAGAGTTCATATCTTAAATCAGCCAAAGTGCTGCCACCTTTCTGTACCTACAAACATTGGCATTTTGAACTTAATTTTTTTTTTCAGTCCGTAAGATAATGGAGTTCTCTTTTTTTCGTGTGCATATGAGGGTGAAAGGAAGAGAAAGAGACCCCATTTCCGTCTGGGGTGAGGGTTGTCACACTTAACTTTAGAAGTGACATGCTTTCTGAAGGACGAGGATGCACTAAATTAGCAAGTTTCTAATAAAGTTTGACTATAGATCTTTTTTGTTTTAAAATGCCTAAAGTTTTTCTTTTTTTTTCCTTTGAGTTTTTGAAGCAGCAGG